ATGGACAAGTAAATGGAGATACGGAAGGTGGGATGGACAGATGGATGGATGGACGTGGGGTTGGACAGATGGACCAGCAGCCCTGTGCCCAGCTAGGGTAGGGTAGCAGGGGAGGGCAGGCAGATGAGACTCGTTAGCAAATGAGGTAGCCTCAGGTTATGCTAACAAGCCCATTAGGAGGGCTTAAAAGGGGAGAGAGGGAGGCCAGTAGGCCTGGCTGCTGGTTTTAGCTGAGATGCTGCTTTTGGGGGAGAGGAGGGTCTAAGTGCCTGCTAGTTAATTAGAAAGGCTTGGAGGAGGTCTGTGCTGGTTGGCCTCACTTGTGAGCAGCCTAATGTGATGAGCAATTAGGGACTCGGTAGCTTTTTAGCTGGAATCATTAAGCTGCGGATGAGCTTGGTTGGGGAAAGGGGCTTTCTGGCTCTGCTGGTCCACGGCTGACCGGGTTGTTCCCTGCCTTGTGGCCTTGTCCCCAGCCTTGGGGACACGGCTCACGTGTCCTGGGGACAGCCCCAGCTCGGCAGTTACCCAAGCTGGGTCACTGTCATCCCAAAGCCACCAGTTCCATGCAGGGACATCTGCTCTGGGGTGATGCTCCCGCCTCATCCCCTCTCGCCATCCTGGGGCCAGGACGTGGCTTTTCCCCCCAGGTAAGAGCTCTGCAGGGGACAAAACCCACCAGGTTTCTCTGTGCCCCCCCTCATCCTCTCCTTTCTGTCCTGCCTTGGCTTAACTCCGTGCGGCTCTGCGGCGTCCGGCCCCGATGTGGGCTAGTTGGCATCGCCCGCGCCGTGTTTATGGCAGTGTTAATTAAATGCTCTCTGCAATCAGAGCTGCACATGACCCCGCTTGCTGAGCTGAGCTTGTGCTCTAATGTGCCGTCGCCCAGGCAGAACATGACTGTCGCCGTCCTGGGGACTCCCTAATAGAGATTTACTTATCCCTCGCCTCCCGTTTCTCTGTTTCATGACATTTTTTGCAAAGTTCAGGTTTACAAAATAAGCCGGTACAGAAAGAGACACTCCAGACGTTATCTCCACGGCACGTGCTGGTTTTTCCTCTGCAGAGCCTGGTCCCCAGGCTGGTGCAATGTGTGCCGGCCTCTGTCCGGCAGTTATTGGCACCACTTGCTTGCAGGGCATGAGCATCTGTGCCACGCTGGCACCTCCTGAACGGGTCACATCAGGGGTGTCACATCAGCATAGGATCCTCGGGAGCCTCGTTTGCCCTGATGGCAGGAGGACTTAGTGGCTGTGCTGATTGCAGCGCATTGAAATGCGGATGGAGTCCCGCGGCTCAACCTGCCTCTAATCCCGGCTCCAGGCCTGGCAGGAGGGATGCGGTCGCAGCGGGAGCCCGAGCGGCTGGACCCGCTGCCCCGAGGACACGGGAGGAAGGGGGAGCTGCCCCCGCCGCCGTTCCAGGGGTGCAATTTGGGGTGCTCGGCCGCTTTGAAGCAAACGTGGGCTCACGGCTGGTGCAGCGGCGCCCGCGGGAGGCAGCCGGGCTGCTGGCGCAATCCGGTTAGTGCCTGACGGCCCCTCTGCATCCGAGCTACAGGCAGAAAAGCCCATTTCAATAAAGAGCTCACGGGGGAAGCCGCCTGCTCCATGCTGATGAGGGAGCACGTGTGCCCAGGCTCCTGCCCTGCTGCACATGCCCCTGCTCCCGGCTGCTCTTGAGGGTCTGCAAAGGTTGGGGGGGCCCTTCGGGGGGATGCTGCTGCTGGTCCCTCTGTGAGGATGGTGATGGGAGAGGTGGCGATGGGAGGAAGGCAGCGGGTGGCCCGCAGGCAACTCGGCTGGTTGCAGCAGGAGGCTCCGTGTTGCAGTTTTAGCCCTTCGGGAGCGGGAGCTGCTCTGCTCCCGGCATCGCCCTTGCCGAGGGAGCGCAGGAGCCGGGCAGGTGGCCCTGGCTCTGGCCCAAGCCCTGCAGAACCCCACAGAGCAGCAGGCCACGGGGGAAAACAAGCAGGTCCCGGCTGCCCTCGGGGATCCTTCCCACCCCGCCGCGCTCTGCATGGTGACACGTCCCCTCCGATGCTCCAGATCCGCCCCCGTGCCCATCCGCACGGAGCGCCGCGCCGGCCGCTCTCCTCGCCCGGGGCCGGGACAAGGGGGCTCCGCTGCTCCCGCACACCTCGCGCTGCCTCCGTGCCCGCCCTGTCAGCTCTCATCACGGGGAGGATCAGTCGGTCCTGCTCTCCCTCTCCAGATTTAATTAACAGGCCTTTCATCTCTACCCTGAAGGAATCTGCTATCTTCTGTCTTCTTAATTAACGTTCATTAAGCAAATCAGAAGAACGTTTTCTCCTCGCCGCCTGCAAGGTTCTTAACCCTTGCGAGGTGCCAGGTTTGTGTTGCCCCATGCCAGGGCGGCCAGGGCATCTCCGTCTCCTCCGGGCTTGCACCTGGAGGAGGGTGTCATCCTATTCCCGCAGGATCCTATTCCCAGCACAAAACCTCTCCAGCACAGAAGGATCCAGCTGCTGGGGGAGCTGCGGGTGAATCCCGGCTTTGATTGCTCTTCTGAGCAGCCCTGTTCAAGGTCTTTTATGTCCGGGAGAGGCAAGGGAGCTGCTTGTGACTAACTGGTCCTGCATCTCCGTCTGGGGATGGTGGTTGTCTACAGCAGGGCTGTGCTTGAAGGCTTCGTCACAAGGAGCCAGACTTGGAAGGTGCCTGAAACCAAGGGCAGCTGATTCCAGATGTCCTGTTCTTGCAGGAAAGGAGATTATGGGGGCAATTCCTGCCTCTTTCTCTGGAGGATGGAGTTAGATGTGGTTTCTTTTTTGCCCTTTGAGGAGGAAAATCAGGCTGTCATGAGTTGCTGCTGCTGGATACGGTATCTGGTCACCACCAGTTCCTGCCCAGGTCTGCTGTCCCCTCCTGTCAGGATGGGCTTTGTTGGAGGAGGACACAGGAGAAGGAGGTTTCCCAATGTTGGTGCTAGCTCAGCTCTCATTTCTGAGTCTTGTGGCCTCTGCTGTCCCTGTCAGCGATGCTGGTGGGTCTTTCACCAAAAAAAAAAAAAAAAATTCCTGGGTGATGGAAGCTCTTCAGAGCATCAAGATGCAGACTAAACTGCAGTGTCTTTGCTCAAGTCCCCCGGCATTCCCCAAGCTCCGCTTGCATGGTCTGGTCACCTCCGCTTCTCTCGGATGGACCCTTGTTTGGAGAGGAGGAGGATAGGGACAGATATTGGCTGCCTGGTGTGCACAGCATGGAGAAATCCCCTGGAAGGTGGCAAAGCCATAAAACATGGGAGACCTTTTCCAACCAGGCGCTTTGCAGCCTCAGAAGCAGAGAGAAAGCAAAACACAGAGCCCACAAACCCTGTTGGGGCCGGATGCAACACCCCCTCTTCCCTATCCCCTTTAAAACTGGTGGCGGTGATGCACAGGGCGATTATTTAACCCAAATCCCCCCCATTCTCCCCCAAACGTGACGGCGGGTTTCCCGGGGGCCACCGGCTCCAGGCAGCTGATGCAGAGCTTGGGAAAGGCGCCCTTCCCGGCGGAGCCGGCTCCGGCTGCCAGAGCCTGGGTCAATATATGTTAATGGGGCTTGGAAACGGCAGCACCGCGGGAGCCGCTGCCCCGGACCTCTGATTCACGGCTCCCCGCCGGAGCTTTTCCCTGCAGCGCGTGCACAGAGCGGGAGAATAACATAAATAACAGCGGAAGGCAAGGAAAGGGCTTAAATTATAGATGAGGGCTAAGTTGCCAGCGTGTTGCTGCGCTTGGCCGGGCACCCCGCTTGCCCCCGTGTCTCTGACATGGGGATGGCAAGGGACAGCCCTTCCCGATGGCCCGTTGGGCCACCAGGCTTCCTCGGGGGGCATGGATGTGGTGGGGGAAGCAGCAGGAATGCGAATCCTGGCTGTGCATGTGTGGTGCTGGCAGTGCTGCCTCTGCTCTGGGCATGGAAGGGGGATGTGGGGACGGTATGGGCTCCTTGGGAGCTTGTTGTGTCCTGCTGTGTGCTGATCCTGGGCTGGAATGGAGGGTGCCAGGGCAATGCCCGGGCCCTGGGTGCAATCAGCATCACCCTGCAAGCCACAAAGGGGGTTTGGTGCCACTCAAGGCACTTTGGTGCCTCCACTGCTGGAGGTGCCGCGTGGGGACAAGTCCTCGGCCCTGCTGAGGTGCCTGGCCCCAAAGCAGCAGACAGGGACCCCCACACATGGGTGCTGCTCCCAGACCTGTGCCTTGGCTGGGGGTTCCCCATGGGGCAGCACAGGGGGAGAACGGGGTGCTCAGGCCACCGTGGGTCTAGTTCAAGGCCTTCCCTGCCCAGATTTCGGTAGCGAGGGGCTGGCGAGTCCCAGTGGAAAAGGGGGAGGGAAAGGGTTTGGAAATTGGGAAGGAATTGAGGAAAAGCCCATGTGCTCATCCCGGGGGCTGCAACACTGGGGTGCAGACCCCCATCCCTGGAGCCACGGGGCTGGCACGTGTCCTGCCAGGGGATCCGCAGCCTGCCAAGCCCCACGGCATGAGGATACAGCGGGCACTGCGGCTGGGGGGCACCCGTGCTTGCAGCAGGCACAAAACACGCAGCCAAGTGACATTTTTTGGCCATTTCCAGCAGCTTCCACAAGATGGACCTCGGCGCAAGAGGAGGCGCCGGCGCAGGGGGGCCCATCCCACCCCGTCCCGTCCATCCCACCCCATCCCGTCCATCCCACTGCATCCCATTCCGCCGGCTCGGCTCAGCGCAGGACGAGCCCCAGCATGGCCCGGCCGCCCGCGCTCTCCCTGCTCTCCCTGCTCTCCCTGCTGTCCCTG